AGACAAAGGTATAAATCGTGGGCAATCTTAATTATACATTTCAGTAAAAATTGTGCCAGATTAAATATTGAAAGGGCCATTTATTTAGCTTATCTAAATGTGACATGTAAGAAACTTGAATAGGTGTAGACGCGGCCTAAGGCGGCGTCTACACCTAGTCAAGTTTCTTACATGTCACATTTAGATAAGCTAAATAAATGGCCCTTTCAACATAAAATCAGACACACATTTTTCTGAAATGTCTTATTAAGATTGCCATGGATTTATATATGTCTGTGAAATACTATCATGTTTTGAAAATGTTTCGATCGTTTTTGTCCCAGTGTTTTTTTCTTTTTCCAGTTGTTGATACATACAAATTTCATAAAAAGAAAAGAAACTTTCCTTTTTCATTTTCCTTTTTGTTTTTTTAAAAAAACTTTTTTGTTTTTGATAAGTTTTTGAGGGAAATTCCCAACCCTCAGTTTTTCATTCGGGTTTTTTCCTTTTATTTTTTTGGTCTTTTTCGGATTTACTTTAAAAAAAATTTGTACTTTTGAAAATTTTTTTTTAAAAAACGTTTTTTTTAAAAATCCTTTAGGGAAATTAAGGTTTTTCCTTTATCAAAATTTTTCTTTTTTCCCCCCAATTAGGTTATAACCAAAAAAAAAAAAAATTTTTGTTTGGTTTTTTTATGGCTTTGTTTTAGTTTTAAACGGAAAACATTAAAAAGGTTCCATGTTTAAACCCCCCAAAAAAAAACTTTCTGCGATTTTTTCCCAAAAAATTTCAAAATTTTAAATTTTCATTTTTTGATTTAAAATTGGGTTTTTAACCCCATGAAAAAAGGGGTAAATTTAAAAACCCAAAATTCTTAAAACTTTTTTGTGGGTTTTTTGGCGATTTGAAAGGGATGATTTTTTCTCTTTTTTTTAAGTTTTTGGCCAGGGGGGTTTAAAAATTTGGTTTCCCCCCTTTCCCGCCATGAATGGGGCGAAATTTTCAAAAGGGGAAGGTTTTGGAAACCTTTTTGGGAAAATTTTTCCCCTTTTTGGGCCTTTTTTTAGGGGGATTCAAATTTTTTTCGGGTATTTTTTGCTTTTTCAAATTAACCAAAAAGGGGATATTATAATTATGCATGAATAACCCAATTCATTTTTTCCTTTGGGAAAAAAATTGGTTCAATTTTGGGAATGTTTAATTAATTAAGGGGGAAATTTTTCATTTTCCCCCGTGGATAATGATTTTTTTCCCGAAACCAAAAAAAACCCATTCCCCCGAAATTTTTGGGGAAAAGGGGGGTTAAATTTTATATTTTGGTTTCCCCCTTTGGCTGAGGGTTTTCATTTTTTAACGGGGGGGAAAATTCAAAAAAGGGGTTTTTCAACCCCCTGGGTAGAAATTTTAAAAAAACCTTTATATATGACAAAAAAAAGGGGTTTGGGGTTCATGGAAGCCCCCAAAAAACTTTTGAAACCTGGGCCCAATGCAACGTTGGGGGCAAAAAAACGTTTTTAGAGAAATTTTCCGGGGCCCAATAAAGGGCGGGGGCTTTGGGAAAATTTAAAAAAAATTTTTTCGCCCCAAATTTTTGTGGGCAGGTGGGGACAGTGTCCATGAAAAGCCCCAAAACCCCCGAAAGGTCCTACGACAATGTTTATTTCAAAATTTTTAAAATGCCCCGCAGAAAAAATTAATTTCTTTTTGGCCAAAAAACTCTTTTTAGGGTTTTGGAAAGGAAAAAAAAAAAGGACACTTTAGGGGTTTTTTTGAGGGAGGGAGGGGTTGGGAAAAACCAAACCTGTACGATTTATTAGGAAACACCGATTATCCCTCCCTTACTAAATTATTTCCCAAATGTTATTAGGAGAGATTGATGGTTCACTTTCTTTTGTGTAAGAAAAGCGCCAAACAAAATTCAAAAAAAAATTTAAGGTTTTTTTATGTTTTTTTTGGGGTTTTGGTTGGGATTTAAAAAGAATAAATCTTTAAAAAATGCTGTTGCAAAAAAAACCCCGCGAATCTAACCAAAAAAAAAAAAAACTGTGCCCGTTTAAAATTGGTAGACAAAGATCCATTTGGGTTTTTTAATTGTAGACCAAATTTCCTGGTTTTTCAAATTTTTAAGACAAAAATAATCCAAATTTTTACAAATTTTTTACTATTTACTTACTTTATTATTTTATTATTTATTGTATGGCCCTATTAAATTTGTTTAAAACTAAGCTAACCCTTTTCAAAAATTTCTTTTTATTGGGGGAAAAAAAAAATTTGCCAAAAAAAACATCTTTTAAAACCCTTTTTCGTGTTTTAAAAAAATTAATTAAAAAAAGGTTTGTTTTTCCCAAAAATTTATTTCTTTTGGGCATTTTTGTGATTTTTTAAAAATTTTTAAAAAAGGGCTCTGGGGTGGTTAAAAGTTGGGGATTTTTTCTTTTTTTTGGAAAGTTGGGGTTTGGGCCCTGGTTTGGGGAAAATTTAACATTTTCGTTTTTTTTTAGTTTCCCTTTTTTCCTTTGGGTAAAAAGGCCCTTTTCGTTTCCATTGGGGTTAAAACAACTTTTTTAAAAAAAAAACAAGCCCATTTTTTGGGAAAAATTTTCCCAAAAAAATGGGGGTTTAGGGGATTTAATTTTCTCGTAATTAGAAAAAAAAAAACGGGGCCAAAAAATAAAAAAAATTTAAAAAACCGAAAATTACACAAAAAAAAAAAAATTTTAAACCAAAACCAAATTGTTTAAATTTAAATTTTAGAAAAAACATAGGGGTAAACGTTCCCAAGACGTAAAAATTTAAACATCGGAAAAAAGGCAATTTTTTCCCATTTTCCCTGTGCGAGTATTTCCCAAAATTTTTCTTTCCCCAACCGGCGTTTTTTGGCTCCCCCCTTTTCCCGGGTTTTTTAAAAATTTTTCCTGGGGGAATTTCCCCGGAGGGAAACCCCCAAAACATGCCCCCGGGGCTCGGGTTTAATCAATAATCATTAAATCCAATGAAGGGGGGCCTGTTCAAGAAAAAAAAAAAAACATAAAGTTCCCATAAATTAAAAGAGGCCATAACGGGACCTTATTTAAATTTTTTTAATATTTATTTTTTTTAAATGGGGCCCTCAGATTCTTGGGGAAGATTCATTGAAAAAGAACAAATAACAATAACCACAGAACATTGATAAATTTTTTTCATTAAAAACCCCCAAGATTTTTATCTTATGTATCTTCCTTTATTTACAAACCGATACTCTCTTACCAAAATTATTTGCAGAGGGACAAAACGGGCATTGAAAATGATTTGCAAATGAAAAATTATTACCTTAAACCATGGCCCTGGGCGGCGCAAGGGTTTTTCGTCACCGAAGTCGTCCTTTCTGATTGACTTTTATCTCCAACAAAGATGTCCTTTCCCATTAAACAACACAAAATTTTTTCACCCTTCAATATTATAAAAAGATCCTCGTATGTTGAATTAAGGCGGGGATGGTCACTTAATTTCAAGTTATAACATGGTATTTTAATTTTTTTCCCAAACCCGGGTTTTTAAAAAAAAACCCAAAAAAGGAATTTTTTTAAAAAAATTAAAATTATGTAAAAAGGCAATTTTATAATAAAAATTTTTAAAACCTTTTAAATTTAAAATTGAAAAAAAAATCCCCAAAAAACGGCTAAAGAAAATATCCCTTTTTATCTATTGGAAAATTCTTTACAAAAAATGCTTTTTAAACCCAAAAAAACAAGGGAATTTTAAATATTCTAAAAAATTTGGGTTTTTTTTAATTTTTTTTCAAAAATAAAAAATTTAAAATTTTTCGGCATATGATGTTTAAAACAAAGTTATGTGTAAAAAAAGGGTTTATCGGTCATGTTTTTCAAAAAGGGTTATCAGTATAGTCAAAAAGGTATTAAACATGTGCCTTGGTTTTGCAGACATGTGTCATAAAGGTATGCAATCACGTGCCATGAAGGTATGCAATCATGTGTCATTAAGGTATGCAATCATGTGTCATAAAGATATGCAGTCATGTGCCATAAAGGTATGCCTTCATGTGTCAAAAGGGTATGCAATCATGTGTCAAAAGGGTATGCAATCATGTGTCAAAAGGGTATGCAATCATGTGTCAAAAGGGTATGCAATCATGTGTCATAAAGGTATGCAATCATGTGTAATAAAGGTATGCAGTCATGTGCCATAAAGGTATAGAGTCGCGTGTCATTAGGGTATGCAATCATGTGCCATTAATGTATGCATTCATGTGTCATAAAAGTTTTCATTTATGTGTTATAAAAGTATGCAGCTATGTGTCATAAGGTATGCATTTATGTGTCATACATGTATGCAGGTAGAAAAACTTTTCAAAAAAAGAAAGTATTTTGGCTTTGGGTCGCTTTAATAAAATGTTCCCCAAAAATCCCAAACCCAGAGCAAAAAAAAAGAAAATTTCTAGTCCTTTCATATGTAAGTGACTATAATAGGAAAAAAAAAATGAAAAAAAAAATTTTTAGATTTTTGAGGCAAATTTTTCTTTAAAGGGAAAATTTTTTCCCCGTTTTTTGTTCGAATCCGCAGCGGAAAATTTTTATTACTTTTTTGTTCCCCAAAATGTTTGCATGGGGGAAACAAGATTTTTTACAGGGCAAGTTTTCCGGGAAATTTTAAAAGTCTTCTCAGGTTTTTAAAAAGCGTCATTTTCACCCCGGGCTTAAGTGGGTTTGCTAGGGGTGGGGGGTGGAGGGTGCTTGTACTTTCCTTCCCGGGTTCCATGTTTCGGCTCCTAAAAACTTTTTCCGATCTTTGTTTTGTGCGTTATTCCGTGTGTGTGTGTTTTCCCCTCCTATATAAACAAAAACCCTCAAATAGCAACACCAACAACGTGTTGTTATGGCTTATTGTAACTATCTCAATACCAGTTTTGAACATTCGCAAGGTACTCATAATCCTATAATCACATAAACTGCTTGATACAATGTAAGTGATGTAAAGATTATATATCAATAAAAATGAGGTCCAATATAACTCTTACCTCAGCAGCTGTCCAAGTAAGAGTACTTGAACTGCGCCAATAGCAGCTACTTTGAAACAACTGCCAATCGCCTTCGCATGTTTCCACTAACACACTTTCACAATTACGACCATAGTATCCTTCTGGACACGTGCATGTGTAGTTGTTGATGCCATCTGTACACGTGCCATCATTTTGGCATGGATTTGGCTGACAGTCGTCAATGTCTGTTAAGGGCAAGTATTGTGCGATAAAAGTGTGTTTTTAATAACAATAATAATAATAAAAGACTGCTTAACCTGAATGTTATAATGAAGAAAGAGAGTTATTAACACAAGCTGATGCTTTCAAACTTTTGTTTAATTTGGATTTATATCGATTAATATAGACTGTTTGTTACCTTCTGAGGTGCATTAGATAATAAGATAATAACCAACGTCAAACTGATATTTGATACTTACTTCTTTGGCAGTGACATCCTGTAAACCCGGAATTTGTACAATTACAGGCAGTAAACCTTCTACTTTTGAAGTAACACTGTTCCTGTTCCATGCATAAGCCTTAAATATCAAAGATTTGAATGTCTTTGAATAGGTTCAAAATAAAAATGTACAAATACAACATTTATTTGAGTACGATGTCAATGGTAGTTAAGGGTAAATGTAACTTTAATCACAAAAAATATTGACTAAACTTATAAAGATTCATTTGTAGACGAATCAAGTGTAATCAAAATTCAGGAATTATTACAACAATGAAATGGAACCATGTGTTCTCTCATGCGGTTCTCTTGTTCTCATATTTGCCTGCAATGTTCTTTTAAATGATTAAACTTATCTAGTGGCGGCGTGGCAAAGTGGTTAACGCGTCGGACTTGTAATCTAAGGATTGCACAAGTAATCTAAGATTGACTGACCACGTGGGTTCAAACCCTGTCAAGGGCAAGCCGTTTCTTTCTTCGGCAAGAAACTTTACATTCATTGCTTAGTAACTGGTTAGTTCCAAAAACGAATTTGAGAGTGTTTCAATATGCCTATAGCTTCCAACACAATCGAACTAAAATAAATTTGTATAAACTAAACTATTGATAATGTAATAAATAAACGTATTTTACACACATCGGTAACATTTCTTCTGTGCCGACTCATCAGCGCTGCCAAAGCCTGGACTCAAACAGGCAGTTTCATTAGGGCACTGTTTAAATAACAAGATTCATAAATCTAAATTGTTTCCAAATTGAAATACATTGACACGTTAGAATTTTGTTATCATGTTTTCAACACAATCTAAGTACAAAAGTAAAGAAACGACATATATCTAAAAATAGTTGAATAATCTAATTTATTAACAGCACTTAAGCAGGGCTGGGAATCAAAACTGCGTCGTATCCTACAAAATGTAAACAAAAACCGCCATCTTAGAACGAAAAATGTATGTTTTTGTTAATAACTCTTTTTGTTGGAAATGACTGAAAACCAGATATATGTATTAACACGCTTCACTATTTTCCGCTTCGTTCGGTATATGTTGCTTGCACAACTATTTAGTAAAACAAAAGTTATAGCGAACTTGCAACTCGAAGCGGGGCAGAATTTTTATACGTTTTTCGTTCCAAGATGGCGGCGTTTGTTTACCTTTTGTAGGATACGACGCATTTTGATTCCCAGCCCTGTTAAGGTCTGTCACTTCATTGTGTGTGCTCTCGAAGCAAATTAAAGTAACATTGAATGTTATCAAACTATATTGATCTCTTGAAACCTGCGTTCTAGATGCAAAGTATTGAATTTACCTCGGCATGCGAATCACAATTTCCATAATACGGTGTTCCTTTAGCCCACCATATACCATATGCTAATGGTAAAATAGTCTACAAGGAACAAAACAATAAACTGCGTCAGGTAAGTGTACAAAGTCATTTTAGAGTTTTTTTTATTTAATTTCTTTTTTTTCTTCTTTTTTTCGTTTATTATTTTCCTTTTTAATTTTTGTGAGTAATATCTGATCAAGCTATTTACGTTTGAGAATATAATCTTGCAAAATAGGTGTCAATTTTTTTATGGGTATCTGTATATCAAAATTACATATTGACTGTTCTCTCATAAATGAATGTTTTAAGTACTTTAAAGGTATGTTACTTTAAATCATTAAATCTACATGATTGATACATTTAGTATGACCCTTGCAGAGCGGCTATCAGAGGAGTAATTCCCTCTACAACAACACTATTGTTTCCCCAAATTAAAGGTTTCCACTGCTAATAACCTCTTAAGAGCAACCCCTCTACGCAACAACCGAAATATTTTACTCTCAAAGGGTTTTGCTCACCAGAGGTGATCATGCATAATGTTGGTAAGCAGTAACAGAACTTGACCTCATTATGCCCCAGAAGTACTTTTGTTTTCATTTCTGAAAAGCTTTTTGTGCGCTACTACACCTTTCAAAAAGTTACTCAATGGTCAAATACCTGAAACATCTTGTGCATCTGTTACATTCAGCAATAGGTAAAACTTAATTGATTTAATACTTTAAATGGAAGTCAAACTACTATGTTTACATTTCGTTACTTTAATCACATAAAGCGCTACTTTCTTAAGGATATATTCATCAACAATTATCTAAAACCATAATTTTAACATTATGAAATTCATGTTTAACTATTTTAAAGAATGAAAAAAAATATTTATTTCTGAGGCATAATGTGCCTTTAGAGGCTAAATCTAATTACATGAAATACTTACCGTTAATAAAATAAATCCTTTGAACATCTTTTGACACTCAGCAATAACCAAATGTTATTTGAAAGCTAAAAAATGATAAGATTATCCATAATTACAATCCAATATTGTCATATAACAATCGTTGGTTCACAGATTAAAGGAGACGCCTTTAGTAGGTCGATTAAAATAAATTGAAAAAAAAAATATATACAATAATGTATAAGACATTAAAAAGTATTCACGGTCCAACCCACCAGGTTATAAACCATTTATGAGATTTGTCTCAAATCAAAAACTTTTCATTGGTTAGTGCACAATCTGTAGTGATTCTGACAAATCAAATACCTGAGATCTAAGTTTGAGATAAGAATATTTCTCTATAACATCGGTGCAAAGTCTTAGGCAAAATACAATGTATATTTAAAAGATATAAAGTTACACTATTTTTATCATTAAAATTTTATCCCTTTGCTTAAAGAATAAGATGGAGAATTGCTTGTTTTTGACAAGTTACATGTACCACATTAGTTTGAACATGTAGTTTCTTTATATAGTAAATGCTCTAGTCTGCAATATCAAATCTTGACAAATTTTGTTCTAATTAAATCAATGTTCATGTTTTAATAGAAAATGAAAATTTTACAAGCTATTGCCAATCTGTGTTGCATTTATATTCAATATTTTATAACAATTTTAGTACTCCATCCAAAATGTTTGTATTATTGTAGCGTTTTTTTTTTTCTAAATACATCTTTGGCAATTTTTTGAAATTTCATGAATTTTACAATACTTTATTTTGTACATTCGACAATGTTTTGCAAAATCATTTAATTTTCTTTAAACTAAGGTTTAAGTTAATACAATGTAATAGAAGTATTGTCTTGAAACTGTGTTTTCAATTCTTTAGATATATCCCATTTTATATATCTTAAATTGTCAAAAATGACAGATCAATGCTGCTTGTAGCGTTGGATACATTTGTTTAAGATTATACCATCTTGAAACTTTCTATCCTAAATTTGCTTATTAATATAATGAAAATATGAACAATATTTTGAAATTCTAACATAATTTGACTATAAAGGTGTCGATATGTGATGTGATTATATTGAAGCTTAAGTCTTAATAATCGCAATGCTATGTCCGCGTTTCCTCTTGCATGCACAAAGTAAGTACACTGTTCATACTCGTTACAAAATAGTTCCATGTAACCGTTTAAATAAGAGCAAAAAGTACTTACATTCACTGATGCAGGTTATCCTCTATCCTAATCTTAATCCAACGTGTAATGATGAGAAGCATCGTTTAACATGGAGAATTAATACCAAAAAAAAAAAACGAAAAAAGAACGTAGAAACTTTATAATGAAACAAATGTTTCAAAACGTTATCATAAAACTAATGAATTTTATAAGCAAATTGAAGTAACACATGTTTTTTTTTCGTCGGATGAATGATATCAGTATTTTGCGTGAAATGTCATGTTAACTTTTCTGAAAATATAAAAAATTAATAGACACAACTATCCCCGTTCATCCGCACTTGATTGAAGTCATAATTTTTGTACAATTCTTGTCATTTTGCAAATATCAAGGATCTTAATACAAAGAATGCTTTCATTTTACTTGCTTATGCGCGTGCGTGCGAGCGGATGTGTGTGTTTTCACCACTTTGTTTATTTCCCAGACGTTCATAAAAAAATATTTTTTATTCACGTACATGTATGATAGTGCTCTGAAAGTAGCTGTATTTTTTAAATTAAAAACTGCATATTTAAAGGTCATATTTGTAAACATTATAAAAGATAAGGTGTGCGTGATTTTTGTTGTTTTATTTTAGTATTTTTTGTCATATTCTTCCTGCAATAACAAAACGATTCGCCGGGCCTGTCTAAAACGCGGACGCCTTAAGCGGACAATATAAACATATAGGGAAAACGCTGACAATATAGACAAAGAAGAAAAAAGCGGACGATATATATATAGTGTAGACAGAGATATAGATACCTATGTCTCTGGTGTAGACTAATTGGTGATTATTTTGGGCATTGATGAAGTTTATAAAAATGATGTGTAATTGGATTTATACTTTAATATTTAAAAACAATATAATAAATTAGCAAATATAAAAGTAATTTATGATTGAATGTCAATAAATTTTATTTCGTTATATGACACATTTTTGGACTTTCTAAATATTGAAAACTAATATATGAAACAAATGGATCAAATGAATGTCTTTAGAATTACAATGATGGTACTAAATTGGCAACAGCTGTATGTAATTAAGGATATATATTTCATTTTTGCAATGTTTTTGTCTTTCTTTATATGCAGTAGGCGGACAAAATTTTTGTTCGCAAAATAAAAAAGCCTTGGTTTTTCAAACTCAAAATTTTATAAGAGTAATTTTATGCATTTTATGAGTTGATGATAGTTTAAAAAATTTGATTGGGCTATACCATAAAGGTTTTGGATTTCGTTAAAGCTATAAAATTATTTTTTCCTATAATCGTATATATGTTTGATAAAGATTACACCTTTTTCCATCCATTCACAGAAAACAAATGGTTTGTTACTTAGTTTTATATTCGTGTTGTTCCATATAATTTCTTTACCAACATCAATAATTTCTTAATTAAAGTTTGCATACGACCAAGCACTGAGTACGTCTTTTAAAAATGTAGATCTAATATCTAAATTTTCAATATCTTTTATGTTAAGATTACATTTAAATATGAATTGTTTTCCATATGTATTTAACATATTTTCATATACTTTGACCAATTTTGAATGTTGCTGCAATTTAATGCGTTTAACCCAGGAGCATTTTAAGGAATATATAAAACTTTCAATGTCCATTATTTTAAGCCCCCCATGTTGGTAATCTTGAATAATCTTATCTCTTGATATTTTGTCTGGTTTGTTGTCCCATAGAAAGTTAAACATGAGCTTTTTTATTTTATTTATGATTTCTTGGTCTGGGTTATGTAAAACTGTGAGAGGATAAATAAGTTTGGGCATTGCAAAAGTTTTAAGAACGGTTATTTTTCCAAAAAGACTTAGTTTCCATCGTTTCCATTTATGCAAACATTGATCGAACTCTTTCAGATTAGGTGTTAAATTAGTATTAAGCATTTCGTCTATGTTATTAGTGAAAGTTATACCGAGCGTGCTAGCTTTTTCAGATGTCCATTTAAAATCATTGTCATTGCAGAAATTGATATGAGTATTTCTTAAACTTTCTAGTTTTAAAACAATACATTTATCTTTATTCAATTTAAGGCCTGATATATTTGAAAACTTTTTTAGTGTTGAAATAAATGTAAGAAACGATCTTTTTTCTCCATCAGTTATAAAACATGCACCATCGGCAAAAAGTGTTTGTTTAAGTTCAATGTTTCCTATCTTAATGCTTTTAATATCTTCATTTTTGTTAACTTCATTTGAGAGTAATTCTATACAAATAATAAATAGGTAAGGGGATAAAGGGCACCCTTGTCGCACGCCTTTTTCTTTTTTAAAGAAACTGGATAGATGACCATTATTATGTATACACGATTTAGCATCTTTATAAAAAAGGCCAACCCAATTTATAATATGTTGAGGAAATTTAAATTTCAATAAGCATTTTTTCATAAAGTTATGATCAAGACTATCAAAAGCTTTATTAAAATCAGAAAAAAATATTAACCCTTTTTCATTTAAATTATTAATATATTCGATTGTGTCTTGTAAAATTCTAACATGTTCCCCAATATATCTACCTTTGATAAAGCCTGTTTGCTCTGGACTGATAATATTTGGAAGTTTGGTTTTTATTTTATTTGCAATTGCTTTTGTCGCAATTTTGTAATCTACATTAAGTAAAGAGATCGGACGCCAATTATTTATTGATAACGTGTCTTTGTCTTTCTTTGGAAGAAGAGTAATAATACTTTGTTTTTGAAGTTCCGTAAGATTTCCGTTATCATAAGAGTAGTTTAGAAAACTAATAAGATATTGTTTTAGATCATTCCAAAATATTTTGTAAAAATCAGCAGTTATACCGTCACTTCCAGGACTCTTGTTATTTTTCATGTCTTTAAGAGCCATTCCGCATTCGTATTCTGTAAGATGACCATTTTCTTCATATTCATTATTTTGTTCTAAAGTTTTTATTTCATTTGCGAAAAAGATAGAATCTTCGCAATCTTCTATTTGTAAGTCTTTTTTATATAAACGTTCATAAAAATCTTTAATCTTAGTCAAAATTTTGTTTTGATTCGTTTCAATGTTATTACTTTTATATTTTAGTTGGCTAAGTATCTTTTGTTCAGCATTTTTCTTTTCAAGGTTTGCAAAATATTTTGTGTTTTTCTCTGACCCTTCCACCCATTCAGCTTTGCTTCTTAGCAGGATACCTTTAATTCTTTTGTCAATAAGATCATTAAGTTTTGCTTTTTCAGATTTAAGATTTTCTATTATAATATTATTACTTGTATTTAACTCAATTTCTTTTTCCAGATCCCTAATTTTAGAATTAATTTCATGCTCATTTCTAAGATCATTTTTCTTTTTAATGCTAGCGTATTTGATAGTTTCATCTCTAATTCTGCCCTTAATTATTCCCATAATACGTTTGGATTGGCTTGGTCATTAAATGACACTATTTCTTGTATTGATGATTTAATTTTATTTTGATAAACTGAAACTGAAACTGTTTTATTTGCTTAAACGCCTATTTCTACATATAATACATATTCAATGGCGTTGTACAATATCACATCAGAACATTAAAAGTAATAAATAAATGTAGTTTAAGAATAATAAAACAACTAATTCTGAATCTAAAATCTAAAACATGGTATCACAAATAAAAGAAAGTAATGTTATTTAAAATAATTAAAAATATGGCTATATTATTAAAGGACATGGTAAAAGACATGCAAATGTTACTTGGATAATAAATACATTGTAAAATCAGATATTCATCACAGAGTTAATGCGCAGAAAAATATTGTCTCTTAGTTTCTACACTTTACTGACTTTGACTAAAAAAGATTAAAATAGTCTCTGAAGAAGTGAGTCTTCAAGTGTTTCTTGAAACTATCAACTGATGAGCATTGTCTGATATTTAATGGAAGATCATTCCAGAGTTTCGGGCCGATTGTACTGAAACTTCTGTCACTGAAAGTTTTACACTTATTAAAAGGCACTTCATAACTGTCAACTGAAAATGATGATGATCTCAGAGAACGTTTTTGACCTTTAGGTGTAAGCTGGTCGGTCAAATAAGTTGGTGCATTTCCGACGTGACAGTTGTACATATATACAAGAATCTTGAATTGTATTCTGGCCTTGATGGGCAGCCAGTGTAGATCGTATAGCGCCTGCTTAGAACTGTCACTTTTCCTACGATTCAATACTAGTTTGGCACACATGTTTTGAATTCGCTGTAGTTTTGCAATATCACAGTTTGAAATACCATACAGAATCACGTTGCAATAGTCTAAGTGAGAAATAACAAGTGAGAGTACAAGAGTTTCTGTTGCATCTTGTGTGAGGAATTTGCGAATATTTTTTATGCGAAAAAAGTTCAACATAGCTGTTCGACACTTTATCTTGATGTGATGTTTGAAAGTCAGATTTTCGTCCAAATATGCCCCTAAATATCTGATCGTATTTTGTCGTTTGATCTTATCACCACAGATGTTAATTTCATCTTTAGACAGTTTACGCAACTGAGGAGCACTTCCGAAAATTATGTGTTCAGTTTTTGAAGAATTCATTTTAATTTATTACTGTTCATCCAATCATTTGCTTGTGTTGCGAACTCTTCTAGTTCCGCAATGGATTCGGCCTCGAGAGCGGGTGTAGGTTTGAAACATTTGCTGGCAGTATGATCGTCGGAGAAGCCGTACACGGAGATGGTAGGGGTAACAATGTCAAATATGGTCCCTGCATACACGAGGTAGAGCCACGGCACTAAACAGCTTCCTTGGGGGACACTGCACGTAAGATCACGCGCTGACGACATTATATTGTTCACACTTACGCGACAACTCCTGGGTCGCAGGTACGAGTCCAACCAATCGAGTGCAACTCCACAGATACCATACTGACGATTGAGAACGTCGAGAAGGATGTCGTGATCGACGGTATCGAACGCTGCACTTAAGTCCAGTGCTATCAACGCAGTTACTTCTTGATTTTCCATGGCAGCAAGAATGTCATTTACAAGACGAAGTAATGCTGATTCACACGAATGATGCTGTCGGTACGCTGATTGGTTCTTGGGAAGGAGATTGTGTTCATTTGCATGTTTGTTAAGATAGAACAATGCTGCCTTTTCAATTAATTTTGACAGAAATGGTAG